AAGTCCTCGAGCAATTCCACCAATAATGTTCACACGTTTGTTCCAGTCTAATAGCTTGCTTCTTTCTTTATCTGACCCATATTTCCTATGTTAGTACAATAAACAATTGAATACTTACAGGAGAGCTTAAAAAAGGATGATTAGAGGTTAGGGATAAGAGAAATCTAACCGAAAATAAAGTAGTCTAAACTTTTATTTGGCAAGTACTCGTAGATTAACATTTTTTCATCCCCTTCAATGCAGCAACCAAGAAGCTTTACAAGATTTCGATGCTGAAGCTTTGCAATCAAGATAACTTCATTCTTGAACTCTTGATGTCCTTGTCCTGAACTCCTTGATAGTCTCTTCACTGCTATGTCTTGCTCCTTTTCTAACAATGTACCCTTTACAATAACAATTCAGAAATCAGAAGTTAATCAGTTATTAGAAAGAAATGTCATTTTAGAAGACTATTAAAATGTATTTGTGTTACCTTGTACACAGGACCAAAGCCACCCTGTCCCAGCTTGTTATTGCTTGAAAAGTTATTTGTTGCACTAGCTATAGTTTCAAAATCAAACATCGGCAACAACATCAATTCCTCTTCTCCATCATTCATGTAATCCTTTCTGAAATGCCTTTTTTTCAGTCCTGAAATAGAGGAAATTTTGCCAAGGATGTAGGTATCAAAAGGTGCATCATTCAAATCAAATGACAAATGATCAAACTTTCATCATGATGCAACTTCCTGCTACTAGAGAGCTTTTGATTCAGATTTTTATTACAAAAACACCAACAAGTATAAGAAATTGGAAGAGTATTTTTACCTTCTTTTCTGCGTTTTTCCTTCCTTATACAGAAAACCAACCCTAGTATTAGGATTAACATCCCAAGGATGACAGAGCTCACCATGAATGTGGCTTTCTTCATCTCCCTCGATCTCTTTCTCTTGTCAAGATGAGCTGAAAGGTTGAAAGTTAAGTTAATGGACATCAGTGTGAGTCAAGGAAAAAGTTTAGTCATGAAGAGTTCAAAGAAGTATAATCTTTAAATAGGAATAGGTAAAGTTGAGAAGATACCCATATCTGAAGGTGCTAGCCGTACATAGAGGTCTTGTCCTCCAGGTGTGAGATCTCGTATATCAATCAAGTCACCGAACCATAACAGGCAGCCAGTTCCTCCATCTCTGACATCAGCATCTGTATATGCTGTGCAGGAGCATTTTGTCAAACACATTTGCTTACATTCCTTGAGATTCATTGTCATGTTTACCGTGGAATTGGACGTATCTGGCCATTTCAACCCTGTATGCTTGAGAAACACATCTTTTTCACAATCCCAGGGTGCATCTCTAACACACCCGCGAGACCAATTTCCTGAACTCCAATCTATTGGAAATTGGGGAGAATATCCTTCCAGGCATGAACATACAGGAGAGTTAGTGATATTGCACTTCGTAAATTTTCCACAATATGCATATTTGTCGCAGGTATCAAGTGCAACCGGCATCCGAAGCTCCGAATCATGATTTCCATTTCTCCATACAAAGAGCTCGACTACGCCAGATGAATTCAACACCGTCCTTGTTTCGACTGAGCTAGCTGCAAGCTCATATGTGTAATATACCTCTACATCATTCAACACATATTGAGATGAAATTATAGAATTTGGCTTAGCTGGACGCCCTGCAAAACCAATTCCATTCCATGGGCCTGCCCTGTACTGAATTTTAGGACCGTTTTCCATTACTACTTGCGGAACCCCTCGAGTGTCTATGCGTACAGAGTATATACCTGGAGCTGGGTCATCCGTACTTCTCCAGGATGATAAAAACCAATCAAACCCGGTTTTTAAGTTTTTTCCAACCTTCATTCCCGGTAGTAATGAATCAGATGGATAATCAAAACTCTGCCACAGATAGTCCTCTTCGTTGTAAATTTTTTCTTCTTGCACTACAAGATTGCCTGACTCCAAGAGCCGAGCAACTGGAGTTTCTGCACTTCTTGATGTATTGGATGACCAAATGACACCCTTCGTGCTATTAAGAAGAGCAAGAATTCCCTCTGAGTCCAGCACCAGAAGCCCTTCACCATCAGAAAGTGGATTTTCTCTATTAGCGACCCACACAACTGTCCGAGTTCTCGGTTTCTTGTACCATATCCCCAAGTACTGGCCCTTGGAACTTCTGAAGAATCCAAGCTCAAAGCTTCCCTTTGGTGAAACTAGAGTTTCACCATTTTTCATTGATTTATCTGGAACAATAGTATCTAGTGCAGCAGCTCCACTTATAAAGGAGAACAAGATTAAGCATATAACAAACCCCAGAAAGCCTTCCATTATTTTCTCATCAAAGAAGCATAGATTATTAATGAAGATTTTAGGATTATACGAACCTAAAGATGCTGAAAACTATTACAAAAGAGTTGCATTCGTTTCTTGGTCAGCTTAGTTATTTCCACGGCCAGCCCCAACTCTAGTCAAAACTACCAAAAAAATTGATTGGTCTAATTGCAGTTTGTGATCATTGAAATGGTGTCGTCTTGGAATTTGATTTGTATATCGAAAAACAATCAAACCATTTATCCATTTCTAAACGTTTTATAACTTCTAGATTACGGATTTCTATTTCTAAAATGGCGGAAAGCTCTCTCTCCTTTGAACCCCCATCCTTCGGTGGAAGAAGGTTATTCTCTGGAAAGTGGCACCAAGAAACATTAAAAAACGTATAATATTTTGGAAAAACTGGAATTACCTTCAAACAATGGGACGAGCGAACAAATATTTTGGAAGATGAGATGACTACACTTGTTATATATTCTCATTGTAAAAAAACAAAAAAAATTCAAATGTTAATTATAAATTTAAAAAAAATATTGTACAAACTAAACTAGACCAAACTACATAACTAAAATCTTTGGATGGAAGTGAATTTTATGATATTAGAGGCTGCTCTTATTCAACCGTTTATATTTTTATTTTAAATTGTAAAATAATATATTTTTATAATTTTTTTTAATTATAAAAAATAATTAATACATTTTTTTAATTTAATACATTTATAATTTGCTTTAATTATAGAGTTCCCTATTTTCACCAACATAAACTATATAGAGAGCAGCCTCTAACATTGAAGATTATACTTTATTCAATAATTTTTATTTTATGGTAGAAATTGTATTATACTTCACAATTTTTTTTGATTATTTATGTAACAAATTAATTAAAAAATAATTAAAAAATGACAATCATTTTATAATAGAAGGAGTAGTATTTTACCGAGCCCTTTAGCTCAAGTGGTAACAACCACTCACGATGCACTTCCCCCTCTTTTGGGCTGGGTTTGACCCAGTCCTTTGTAAAACCTGTTAGAAAAAGAAGAAGAAGAAGAAGGAGAAGGAGAAGGAGAAGGAGAAGAAGAAGAAAGAAGGAGTAGTATTTTAAAACATAAAAAATTAATTAAAATTATTAGTTGTATATAAAATCATTAATTATATAGTAATCTGCAAGGAACCTAAATTTAAAAGTTAGCCTTTCAACAAAAAAAAAAAAAAAGAGAAAATTTTCTAAAGATATGGTTGATAATCAGATTCTAAAAAGGTATAGTTCCATTTGTATTGAATTATATAATATTAATCACCAAATAAAATTAAATATTATTATATTAAAAATATTTTTTATTTAATAATTTCTATTTTAAGTGCAATAAAAATTGTAAAATAATTATTCTAAAAAAAATATAAAAAAAGTTTCTAGCTTTATGTTTTTTAAAAAATAGAAAGACATGAATATTTAAAATAGAAATAAAAGAAAAAAAAAGGATAATTAAAAGAAAGAAAGAAGAGAGGTACCATGTAGCATAGACCGGCGTTCCATCAAAAAGTTGGGTAGGAAACCATAAATGAACTCTGGTAAAAGTAGACCATGGAAACAGACTTGGAATTTGGTGAAGGTTCATTGTGAGGGTGCAATCGAAAGTTTTTGGATTGTCATGCCCTTTGATCATGATTTATTCCTGGTTTTACACTTGGTTTGGAT